CCCTGTGTTTCCAGTTCCTATCTGTACCAGTGTATATACTTTGGTTTAGCCAGACTTGCGAGGTAGACTTCGGATCCAGAACACTTCATTGTGTTCCTGGGGAACTTGTACATGAATCAAGATTGTACAAAACACAATCACAGTTGTGCAAATGGAACTAGGGAAAATTTCATGGTTTCGAATCAGGAAAGGTATGAGTCAGGGCTGTATCCTCTCGCCATACGTGTTCAATCAGTATGCTGAGGAAATCATCAGGGAAGCTGGAATGTATGAAGAAGAATGTGGCATCAGGATTGGAGGAAGGCTTATTAACAACCTGCGATATGCAGCTAATATGACCTTGCTTGCTGAAAGTAAGGAGGACCTGAAGTACTTGTGGATGGAGATCAAGGATGGCAGCCTTCACTATGGATTACAACTCCATGGGTAAAGACCCAAATCCTCAAAATTGGAAAAATAGGCTTTATAGTTCAATGTTGGGCACATGGGCTAATGTTGGACTTATGTGCTTGGACTGGACTGGGTTGAGATGCTTAATGTACAATTACTCTATTTAAAACTCTCTCTCATAAAATATGAGTGTTTATGAATTTTGTTTCTTCAGTCTACCCAGAGTAACACATTGTGGTACCAGGAGTGGGGTACTGGAGAAACAAAGCATAAAGACTGGACAGTGGATGTTTGTTTGACCTCTCCCTCATGGTAGTGTGTCTTCTTTGGCTAGCCAGAAGTCGGATATCTCCATGGAGTTTACTGGGTTGTTGGAAAGAGCATGGGAAGTTAAAGTGTTGATTATTATGTTTGGTTGTAGTCTTTGGTTATTCCTGTGTGAAGTGGCAACAATGAATGCTGTTAATGTATTGAGCTCAGGGGTAGAAATTGCCATTTGAATTTCTCAGAAACCATGCTGCTTCAGCAAAATGGCTGACAGCTGGTCAAAATGGCTGACTGAAAGCCTGGATCTGGTTCAATGCTCTCAGACTTACTCCCATATTTTTGTATACCTACATAGAATAGTTTAGATAAGGATTTAGACAAGCTAAATAAGGATTGAACGTGACTGTTTTAAGAACTGAGTTTAGTATCTGGTTCTACTTTATTTATACTGATTTCTTCTGTTTATTATTGATATAATGATTGATAGAAATGTTTTCCCAGGAAGTATGAAAATAGAGAGATTGTAAGCCCATTTGCCTCAAGCCATTAATTTGAATTTTAGATGGGTTTAAACCCACCTGGAAAGAAGGCTTCAAAGCACCCAGTTGATTTACAGAGATATGTCTAGGGACAGTTGACAGATTGAAGAAAACGAGAGCTCTTTGGAGCTGTTTGAACTGTAGTGGTCTTTGTCAGAAGCAGGAAAGAATCTGGAACCATGAAGCAAACTCCTCTCTGTGACTGTATGTTAAAGGGAGCCTGTGGGCAGGCTGAAATGCTTGTTAGGTGACTACTTGGCTCTTCTTGTTGAGTGGAAGTGGGAGAAATGCAGCAATAAAGAGACAGGTTGGGTCTGGCCACTGACACCTGTGGATTTGATTTACAGGAAAAAGAGGAGAAGATAAGAGCTGGTTGACTGGTCTAAAGTTCATGACCTAGCATGAGGGGGCTAGGCTTGTTGAGTATTTGTGAGAGCCCATGGTCTAAAGGCTAGGTGACCAATGGGCACCCTGGGGAGGCTGAGTGAGACAGCCCACATTGAGTTAACCAGAACCCAACCACATGAAGAGAAGTTATTTGAGCCTGTGAACTGGATGGCTTGTCCTGATTTGACTTTGCTTATGGATGCGGACTTCACAAGGTTCCAACTGGAATGAATATTCTTCATATCGAAAACTATGATTGTCTCCGCAGAGCACTGGGTTGTTGAAAGTTCAGTATAGGAATTGGACATCCAAATCTGGGGGGATAAAGGTATGAAACTTACAAACTTTCATAGGTAATATATTCATAGGATTATAGGATTAAGGTGTAGGTGTTACATAATTGCAATTGTTAGGAACAGGATATTTTTGTTTTATTTACCTATAAAATGTTATGTTTAAATGAGGGTGGAACATTTTTGAATTGTATGCATTTTGGTTTTAATAGGTTAGGTACTGATTAATAGATTAGGTACAGATTAATAGGTTAGGTACAGATATGATTTTATTATTATTTGTTTAAAAATTATATATATGGCTAAAGAATTGTGTACATGTGCCAAGTTGACAAGGGATGGATTGTGATAGTTAAGGTTTATTGTGCCAACCTGGCCTATGAACACATGTGGGATTAATTGAAGGGCAGAGAGATAAATGTCTCGGCAAGCCTTGCCTGTCTGGTCTCTTGCTTTCTGAGGGTCAGACCAGTGTGCGGCAGCCTTAGCTAGTTCCCTGCTTCAGCTGGCAAGGCTCACTTCCTGAGGGACATCCCTGAGGAGAAGCCACATGGACTTACCCTGATGCAGCCCTGGGTGCTGGATAAGCCATGAGGAGACCCTTGCCAGCTCTGAGATGCTTACATGCTCACTGATTTGGCTTTCTTCCTGCATTTGGTGTAATTGCGTGT